GCGGGGGTGTCTTAAATCTTTTTGATACAAGTGGAGAGTGCATATCATATAATCCAGTTATGACCGATGTAAAGTTATCAACCAAGATGTCAACCCTGTCCCTCGACTGCATGAAATAATTCCAATTAATTGAGTCCAGATCGGCATTAAACCGATCTAAAACTATGTTTTTCAGGGGCCTATAAGTTACCCACTGTGGCAATGGCTTATTTATTCTTATTTTAAGTTTAGCAATAATCATGGCATGTCCACCCAAGTCAGGTGAATGTTTTACTTTTACATGAAGTACATTTATGTCAGTACAGATGACATCAATCAGACTGTGACTCTGGGTAGTGAAATGTGTCGGCTCAGTGACAATCTGCTTCAAACCTGTGCAGCGCAGAGTTTGCTCAAATAGTGCCTGCGCTCCTCCAGAGCTGAGCAGGTTGATATTAAAGTCACCGAGTAGAATAAGTCCATCCTTTTTCGGAAATGATGTAACTGATTCCGAGATAGCATCAAGGAAGATGTTAATATCCTGTCTTGGTGGTCGGTAAGCAGTTCCAATTATAATTTCTCTATTTCGAATGCGTACCTTAAGCCACATCTGCTCGACTGTGTCGGCTGCGGGATGTTGACAGGGTCGTGCGTTTATACCTCTGCGTATGTAAAACCCTACGCCGCCTCCACGACCACCACGAACGCTGTCAGGTCTCGGCGTATGGTAGAACCTATAGTTCGTCAATTTTGGGGCCCTACCACACTGCCCGGGTCTTAACCAGGTTTCATTCACTGCTAACACATCCGGTCCCAGTTCCTCAACAGCCACAATGAACTCATCATGTCCAGTGTTAAGAGATCCAGCATTAAAAAGCCCAACTGTCAAATCTTTAATTCTATTCATTTTTATGCACTTTGTGTTTCCCGTTGTTAGATTTATGCAATAAATATAATGATTCGTGCGATAGATGTAACAACAACGACAAACATTGGACATTATATAAATGGTTAACAATAAATAAAATTATGCAGCCAGCGTTAACACATAATAACCAAACTTGACTAAGCTTACAAAGGATCATAGCAAACAACTGATTCAGAGCACAATTAAAAAATAAAGAATTGTTTGTCAATAAACAAGGTTCAAGCCAATTGGTTTTTACAATGGAGCATGCACATTCTTTAACAATCAAAGCATTAATGACAGTAGCACACCTATACAGGTCACGTGATGCATCTCTTGATGTATCTGAATCAATTAAAAATAGATCTAACATAACACAATAAGAATATATAAAGCGAAACAATATTGTTATTAAGCAATTAATGAAATTTAAATTAACAAACGCATAAATGACATTTATCACCAAGCATAGTACAAACCAGCACATAATAAGAAGCGCAAAGAGTAAAAAAATAAAGCAAAGCAATGTTCGAATCATGGAGTGTTTGTCAAAAGCGGACCAACAGAATCTAACCCAAAAACCCTCTCCAGATCAGCCTGCGTGCGCAGGCGATAGGAAGGGACCCCCTGCCCAGTGTGATGTCTCGCGAAGATCTTGCCGTCCTTCGTCCAGACGTAGCGCCAGCCCGACCGCTTACCAATCTCGCGTGCCTGCCGGAACAGAGCGCGGTTAGCACGCGTCAGCCGCTCGTTAATATAGAATGTGCACGGCGGTCCAGACACGACGACGCCTTCGGTTGAGGGCTTGCGGCGCACGCGAGCAGCGCGCAGCAGATCGTCACGCACCGTGCGCCGCACCAGGCGCACTACTATGGGGCGGGGCCGCGCCGCCACGCTGGCACCCTCCACGGGCTCCGGGGGGCGCCCCACGCGCGCGGCGCTGACCACGTCCCGCTGCTCGAGCTGCACGCCGATTTTCGTCGCCAAGGTCATGACGATGTGCTGGAGACCCTCTCCCCTCTGCTCCGGTATGCAAGCGATCTCCACGTCATTGAGTAGGAGTTCCTGGTCGCGCTCGTTCAGCTCAGATTTAAGAGCCTCTATCGTATGTACTAGAGTGCTCTGAGCACCGTCAGGATGATTGGCACCGCCGTTTTCCAGTTCCTCCAAGCGCGACCTGAGATCGCTTAACTCACTTCTACACGTGTCCACCTGCGCCACTAATCTAGAGAGCTTCCCGTCAAACTCATTAACTTGATTACGGGTGTCAGTCATTTCTTTGCGGAACATGCGAACTTCCTCCACCAACAGGTCCAATTTTCCAGTTAAGGCTGCTAGCGCATCCCCAGACACTGAGGGTGCGGCCTCGGGGCTCCCACTCTCGATTGGGCTCATGGCGGAGGCGCCGCGACGACGAGTAACCTTGTCTTCATGTCCACGAACTGGTGTGTCACTGTTATCCATTTTTGGCTCACGACTCCTGCACGCCTCACACTTCCAGTTCGTTCTGTGCTCCCCCGTAAGTGTGTTACGGAACCGTTGCTCAGAGACATTAGCGCAGAGTATGTCGTAATATCCCGAGCATATTGAGCAACACAAATATTGTCTGTTTTTTATTACTTGTAAGCACCCAGCACAAGTTTTAGAGGCCATAATAACAGATATAGAAAAAAAAAAAAAAAAGAAAAAATATATATATAAATAAAAAAAAAAAACTTTAAAGCACAAAAAAAATATGGTTCGAAACTGATCATAAAAAAAAAACAGTAAAAATGTTTTTGAGGACTGAGATTCGAACCGTGGATCGCTGATTAGTTCACAGAGTCGGAAACCACTGAGCCGTGTACGCTCGCAATAGAGTGTCGAAAATACCAATCTGTTACACAAAGTGATTTGCAGATCTACTCGAGCAGCTGATTCATTCAAGTACGAGTTGGTGACTCAGGGCTAACGACCGCAACTTAAAAACACTGTTCACCTTCACTTATTTTATAAAAACACTTGTATCCCTATAATTACTGTACCGATATTAATGTTTTATACACCAAACTCAAGAGAATTGCACGACGAATAAATTTATATGTATATCACAGATGGTGGTGTTTTATTACTATAATTTATGAGCTTAAAATACGGAGCGCAGATTAACACGTTATAGCAGAACAACCGCGTCCCAAATACTTTTGATTACCGTTTGGGCCCTGGAAAAACAGTTAAGTCTACTATTGTAATATGTACCAAAGTACCTAATTATTTCTAAATATTTGATAGTTTTCTAAATATAAATGTGTAAATTCTTGACATGTTTGAAAAAATCTTTAATTTGTTTATTTTGTTACAAAAAATTGATTAAATTTGTTTGTGTCATTCGGACTTAAATAACAAGTTCTTACATATTCTGGATTTTTAATAAATATTTTATGGACACCCTAATTATACGATCCGGCCAAATGTCGATGGCCAAATCGTTAAATGTTGACGATTTAATGATCTGGTCAAATTAAGTTGGCCAAATCATGAAATGTGACCATTTCATGAAATTCTCGAGCATTTCATAAAGTGAGCAAATCTACGATATGGCCACGACATCAATATATCGAATCAAAATATATTGACTAAAAATATCGATATATCGAACAAAAAATATCGTTATATCGATACATCGATATATTTTCAACAATATATCGTAATATATATTATCCTATATATGTAGTTCCCATATTTATTAGTATTAACATGTATTTATATTCACGTGTACACGCTGACAACCTTTTCTTATATTCTTTCCTACTACGGGCCTACTTTAAGAAATTTCAGATTGAAATAGATTTGGCCTTTGTACATGTTATCTTTAATAAAGTTGCCTCCTGTATTATTTTTTTTGTGTACAGAATATATAAATAAAAAAATTGTGTGTGTCAGCTCCGACGCACGACCGGAGTTTACACTCTAAAAACGATTGTCTTTGAACAGACACAAAACAAAATCAAGTCCGAAGAAGTCGGTTACAAGTAGAGATACCTCAGGAATCGTCCCATGGTTTCGACTATCATAGGTTCCATGTCACACATTTTATCATCTAACAACATCGATATTCATCAAATATTTTTTTATGTATTTCTGGAAACACACAATTTCAAAAATATCACACACTAGTCATCATTTTGTAAATATTTATTATTATTCCATCTGTACTGAAAATCACTATTCCAGAGTGCTGGACACTTACCGGCATTTCTCTATATTCTGTTATTTATTTGTTTTCAATAATTTTGCTCCGATTTCATCTATTTTTAGTTTATTTATTTTATTGACATTTGTGACAACTTAATGTTTTTTATCCGTTGCCATGGCTAAAAGTGAAAGGTGCGCAGATGAGGTTGCGCACAAAAACGTAACGAGGTCATTTGTTCAGTTCCCCTTATATATGCAAATCGATTCTTAAGGAGTAAACTCTAATAAATTGTTTCATATGCTTATTTTTGATTTAGATAATTGGATTTTTATTTCGGGCGTACTCGACTCTGTTCATAATACACTTAGTCGTTTACCCGAATGTCATTGGCACTCGTATTCGGGTTAGCGACCGAATGTAATCCCGCCATTAGATACAAATGTTGTATCATCATCAGCCTATTAATGTCCCCACTGCTGGGGCACAGGCCTTCCCTATGGATGGAATAGGGAGATTGGGCCATGACCCACCACGCGGGCCCAGTGCGGATTGGCGGGTGCTAACGACTGCAGATGCAGCCGGGACCAACGGCTAAACGTGCCTTCCGAAGCACGAAGGAACTCGAGTTAGTAAATTTTTGGTCACACATCCAATGACCGACCACTGCGAAAGTTGCTTAACTTCAACGATCGCAAGCGAACGCGCTCACCTTATTATTTAGTTCATTTCTGATAGATTTGATTCTATGACCTACTATCGTAAAGTTAACCTTTTACAAAAAAATGGTGTTGTATTTGTAACCGTTTACTAAAAATTTGGTCCTGTATTTGTAACCTTTATCTGAAAATTTGTGGTCTCGTATTCCTTATTTTCGTCTCTTGGATCAGACTTTTTAACCACTTGCGTCATCGATTTACACAATTTTTTTCCTTCTCACAGGAGAATGACAACCCCAAACTGAACTTATATTTAGCTGAACACCTCCATCCAACGCTCAAGCCGCCCTCAGAAAACCTGGAATACTGCGTTTTACGCATGAAATACGCTTGCGAGACTCTCATGAGCAGACACGGGTTAGATGTCGCCAGTGCTTTCACGTGAGTAACGAAAAACTATAGTTTAGAAAACAACAGTAGACTTTAGTACTGCACGCCTGTAAGACGAAGACTCAGGAATCGCTGTCAACATTATAGAATGTTTTCAACCTTTATTAATTAAAATAAATATTTCCAACACTCACACCAATTAGCCTAGCCCCAAAGTAAGCACTGTAAGGCTTGTGTTATGGGAAACTAGGGTAACAAATAGAATACATATACTTTACATATATAAGTATGTCGGATGGGCGAGCGGGATATAGGCGGTTGGCCACGTGGTTTTTCTTGATCCGCCATCTTGGTTATTCAATGATATTTCCCGAAAATAAAACTGTAGTCTAGTGACCAAGCTAACGTTTAATTTAAATCTTCTTATTACTTTACAAAATCAGTTAAGATTGCCAAGGTACAAACGGATTGCTTTGTGAAGCGCGGAGAGTTCTGTGCTAACGTCCGTTCACTATCGCGGCTCACGTCTAAATGCCGAATGCCTCTTCCAATGACGCATAGCCCCTTAAATACTACCCTTAGCATAGACCACTCCCAAGTGATGACAGCTGTCACTGTGATTACTTGACGTTTCACAAGGCAATAGTACTCTTGACTGATGACATTTGTTGTCGGTTTAACGTTTCGAAGGAGCGAGTGAGACGCCATCCGCCGACAAGTATATTTATATAGAAGTAGATATTAAACATCCATGACTCGAGTACAAATGCTCGTGTTTATCACACACAAACTGACTGCCCCCACCGGGATTCGAACCCGGGACCTCTCGAGTCGGCGACGCCATAAACCCCGGCGTACAAACCACTCGGCCACGGAGATAGTCTTAATAGTGATAGAAATGATTTCGTCATATCTAAAGGTCCTATATTGAGGAGCTCATTGGCGCAGGTGGTTAGCGCGTTCGGCTTCGATTGTTGAAGTTAAGCAACTTACGCAGTGGTCGTTCATTGGATGGGTGACCAAAAATCTTCTATCTCGAGTTCCTTCGTGTTTCGGAAGGCACGTAAAGTCATTGGTGGCGGCTGCATCTGTAGTCGTTAGCACCCACCAATCCGCACTGAGTCCGCGTAGTGGGTCACGGCTAGGGTTACCATCCGTCCGGATTTGTCCGGACATGTCCGGAATTTTTGCCTTTTGTCCGGATTTTTTTAATTAGATAGAATATGAGTAAAACTACTAATTAAGTTATATCATATAAGTCAAATAATCTTTATTAAGTTCTCATTAATTTAAAACAGAATATAAATCATCTATAAAAATCAACAACGAGACCGCCCTCGCGATGCGAGCGTCTGCTACCACGCGTATAATATCACTGTAACTAAGTGGGTGATGTTTGCATTTTGCGACTAAAATGTCCGGACTTTTATCGAAATGTCCGGCTTTTTGTCAGGACTTTTCAAATTTTTAAACAGTAACCCTAGTCATGGCCCAATCTCCCTATTCCATCCATAAGGAAGGCCTGTGCCCACCATCATCATCAGCTTATGAATGTCCCCACTGCTGGGGCACAGGCATTCCCTATTCATGGAATAGGGAGATTGGGCCATGACCTACCACGCAGGCCCAGATTGGCGGGTGCTAACGACTGCAGATGCAGACGAGACCAACGGCTTAACGTGCCTTACGAAGCACGGAGGAGCTCGAGATAGTAATTTTTGGTCACCCATCCAATGACCGACCACTGCAAAAGTTGCTTAAGTTCAACGATCGCAGCCGAACGCGCTAACCACTTGCGCCATCGAGCTCCTCAAACGTTGTATCTAATGGTGGGGATTTACACATTTTTTTCCCTTCTCACAGGAGAATCACAACCCCAAACTGAATTTATATTTAGCGCGTTTCTTTCCGCGCCCCACCAGTGGGGACATTAAGAGGCTGGTGATGACGATAATGGTGGAAACAAGGTTTTCTGATTAAGGTTTTCTTTGTTACAGTGAATTAAATAGATTAGCTATAGCTGGTACAGAAATCTTAGCCATGACTGCGGTGCTAGCGAGAGCTTCAAGGTAATGTACATTTTAATGTGAGATCAATAAAGAATAAAGTCGATTAATTTCTATTATCCAGCGCTAACTTTCATATTTGAAGCTGTACTATACAAAAATTTACGATAAATTTTTATTCTTTGATTGAATTGAAATTTTGCTAAAATACAATTTATAACACATTTGCTCGTAAAGCATCTCTTATTGCACCAATTTCAATATCATAATGTATCACATTACACACGCGTGCGGTAATGTAAAGTAAAACGCACGGCTTATTATGTTCCGTCTAAAAGCGAACGATACTTTTTTTTAAATTTTAGCAAAGACTTATTATGTCAGAAAGGTAGCCAACATTTTGTTAATAAAACCAACTTTGGGAGATAAAATAAAATATGTAAACGTTTAATTCTTTAATTTGATTCATTTTGACAATAAATTACAACCATGTATCGGTAACAAATTCACAATACTAATTTACTTTATTAGTAACACTGGCTGTTTTTTGTTCCTTTGCCTAAAAAAGCGTTGATGCGCGCGCATCGCTAATCTGTGAAAAAGTTATTTCTTGCCGAAAAATCCACGGGCAGATACTTACAGTCAAGGATATCGAAATTTCATCTTATGGAAAACAAACAAAGGTGCAAATTCATTTTCAGAAAGTATGTACGTAGGGTGACTGATCCAATTATCAGCACTTTAAGAGTTAGTCCAAACTTAAGCCAGTTTATCACATTGAAAAATACTGTTTCACCCGTTTTGACGAGTTTTCTAGTTTCAATATTCAATCAGTAAGATGATTATTTAAAAAATATTTTTTATATTTAGGTATCCATTTTTTTTAGATGGACAAGAGTAAATAAGGACCATCTTACCATTTAATAGCACCATCACCACCATTTAATAGCATAGAGTGAGTCAATTAACAGCACTATGATAGTGGTATTGAAATTATATGAAATAAAAAATGTTATTAGTACCTATAATCTCTTTAATTGACTTATTTTAATATAGGTGGGTAATGTGTGACTAAGGATCAAAAAAAATATTTGACAACAATCTAATTGTATTTATAAACTTAACAAAGTTTCGTATTATTATCATGTATTATGATAATGTCTCTTGTGTTTTGTTAGCTTTTATCTCTTTTATTTTGTTTTTTCTATTGTATCTTGTATTTTATTTTCTATTGTCCCTTTTATTGTATTGTCTTTTTTCTCCTGTATTTTATTAGCTTTTTTTCTCTTGTTTTTTAATAGCGGTTTCTACTTTTGCGTTATTTTTTCGTGTTGTTCAGTAATCTGTTTTTCTTATGAGTCGCCTGTTCTTCTTCTTTAGGTTGTTTAGTTTTTAATTTGTTGTTTTCAGTCTTTTTCCATTCAGCTGAAGTAAGAACAAATGATGATCTCTCTACATTTTTAACACCTTTTCGTTCAGGCGTTTTTTTCCGTAACCAATACGTCCTGTAATTTAACTGCAGTTAGTAAATATTGTTTAATCTGACTGGAGTTGGTAAATATTGTTGACTATCAAGACATAAAAATTGCGCACTTCCAAGACAATATTCAGTATAATGAACCATCAGATGGTTCGTTAGTGGTTGCAGAGATCATAGCTTGCATTTCATCTACAAAATCTTATGCTAATATTACTGGAAATTGATCAATTTTGAGAAATTTGATAACAGCTTCCTGGGATGTGGAAGTTGTGGACGCATCAGTTTGATCATCGAAATAACAACAAATCTTCTTTAAAATCCTTTCTGTTTCTATTAGACTCTCAAGCGGCGTTCTTTGCAGAAATGTAGGTACATTTTTCTTGCCCTACAATCTTTTCTAAAGTTTCACGTGTCATAACTCTATCTTCATTACAATCTTCTTGTAATTTTTATTTGTCTTGTTTTGGTTCTTTATCATGTTTATTTCCGTTACCCAGACATTTTTTGTAGTTGATGGCTTCAAAGTTACAGGGACATAAGCCAATAGTCCTGAATCCATTTATCACTGTTGTATCTTTGACGCCAACCTCTAAAGCCTCTATAAGACCAGGTACAAAATCATTCTTTGTGAGAGTCTCCAAAGGGTAATCTCTCCTTCATTTTACTTTCCTTCCATGCATTTTTGAGAGGTCTAAAAGCTGACATGTGTCGGCTGGCTTTAGAGCAATCAAAATAATGTCCAACTTGCTGCACAATTTATTCACTTCAAGACTAAGATGTGTTTTGTGTCCATCTACAAATAGTATGATGTGAAATGAATGAAATACATTCTTGATATAATCATAGAAAAAATCACATTTCATCTAGCCAGTACAGCTTAAACCAATGCCCCTCTCATTTGGGACTGATGATTTTTTATCATTGGGAAACCTCTTGTTGGGAAACAGAACTAGTGGAGGTGTAATATCTCCGTTGGCGCAAAACGTAAACAGTACAATAAAGACAGTTTTGGCTGCAGCGTGATCAACTTCATATACGTCTCTTTCTCCTCGTAATGAAATGATTTTGCCCTTCTTAGGATATAACTGAAAGTTAGATTCGTCCCCATTAAAAACACGAGACGGGTTCTGGTAGATGTTAAAGTAGTTGTTTTCCTTAGGACAAAACTCAAAATTGTGGAACCACCTTTTTGTGTCTTCTTCTGATACATTAGCACTGACTGATATTACAGTTTCGGCAATGCGTTCGCTGAGTTCTGGATGACGGCACATAAAAAGGTCATACCATTTTCTACCAGATATGTCATCCTTTAAGGGGTCTCTAAATCTCTTTCTGTCTTCTTTAAGAAACTTGCTACACTCAATTGTAAATCAGTCTTTTGTTTGGGAATCTTTTCCGACAGCAATCTAAAACCCACTTTTACTAAAACTTCCTCTTCATCGTTCGACAATAGTGGATCAGGGTCTGGTAGCTTCTTGCATGGCTTTCTTAATCGCGACTGGATAGTTTATCTAGGTTTATTGAAGGTTTTCGAGGCCAGTTTTTTGGACATACCCTATTCTAATGCATCTAAGTCTTTTAATAGATTTTCGTAAGAGTTTTTTTTTTCTTTTATTTGGCATATTTACTTCCTTTGGTTTCATGGTAGGTGGGTCTGAAAAAATTAAAAATTATGAAATGCTAGGAGAACCAAATTATCAGCATGCTTTTGATCCAATTATTAGCACTATGCTGACAAATAGCAAATGTAATTTCAGCACTATGCTAAGATTTGGATTCCGAAGGCATAAACTACTTTTACGAAAAAAAATGAATTTTATGCATCAAATAAGCACGGTTTACAATTAAAAATATGGTATAAGTATTTACGTACTATTTTCCATTTATCAGCACCAGTGCTGATAATTTGGAATTCGCAAAATATTAGACCCATATATTAGCACCACATTTTTTAACAATATGTCATTATAACCTCAAATTATTCTTTTCAAACTATCCTGATAAACTATCTAAGAAATCACATAAATCAAAAGTATTAATATAAAATATTTAAAAGATCTATTAAAGCATTAAATGTAAACACGTGAACTTACCTTCGATCTCTAAGAACAGGCAAAAATAAGACGAACTGCCGGACACAAACGTATTTTTACATTTTTTTTTGCCATTTTGAAGTCAGAAAGTATGGTATTGCCAGTGGTAGGATTTCAAAAACAACAATTTATTTATTTTTTAAAGTGGTAACCCAAATCAGTTAGTGAAAACCTTATTATTTTACTATTTATTCAGAGTGCTGATTATTTGGTGCAGTGCTAGCATTTGGATCAGTCACCCTAGGTAGTATTATTTCCTCACAAATGTGTTATAAAACGTCGTATGACATACGTACGGTTTGATAATTACAGCCTTTGCCTTCTTATAGCCCTCACCTACACTAGGCATTATTCCTAATGCCCGGGCAATGTGAAATTTATTTGTTAAATCCACATTGCATCGGGCATTATTCATAATGCCCGATTAATCACTTAGCTCATAACAATTTTAATGAGATTAAGACATGCACAATTTATTTATCAAATTAGTAATAGAAAATTAAATGAAATAATAAATAAAGGCATTAAAAAATTATTTTATTAATAAAAAAAACCTTGAATTCTATAAATCGTGTTAAAATAATTATAATAATGGTATTAATTAATTAATATATTTTTTTACATTGCCTTTCTAACTGTTGAGCGATATTGTTATTTTCTTTTGATTTAAACATCTAGGTGTTAAATGCTTAAAATATAAATTACAAGATTTTTTTGGAACGAAGTTCCTTACGGCAGGCTTGGAGGGGATAGGGATTTTGCTGCGCGACCGAACTGAAAAAAATGTGATAGTAAAACCGTAAGAAAAAATCCGTGGAAAAAAGTGCGTGGAATAAAACCGTTAAATGAGACGTGCGCAGGCGCGACAGTCGCATACACAAGCGAGTTTGCAATTTGTGTCGATTCTACATTAGCCGAAGGAACTTCGTTCCTACCTGGTGTCCCACGACACCACATCATTTTTTTTTTATATTTTAATTAGGTCGTATTGCATCGGTTTACACAACGCCGAGTTAGAAATGAAGTTAGCAGCATGTTACGTAGACTCTGCCAAGGAGAAAGTGCGGAAATTGATCAAGGAAATAGATGACGGTGAATTCATTAATTTGGACCATTTCAAGGTAATAAATACGTTTATAAATTCAAGCAAACGCTGGCTAGTAAGTAGATTCATATAGAAAATACATATTAAACATCCATGACTGGAGTACAAATGCTCGTTTTCATCACACAAACATCTGCCCCCACCGGGATTCGAACCCGGGACCTCTCGAGTCGGCGACACCATCAAAACCAGCGTACAAACCACTCAGCCACGGAGGCCGTCATATGTCTTCATATATGTGATAGTAAGTGAGATTTATCTTACAGAAGCGACGTGTAGTTGTCACTCGGAAATAAAAGTGTCATTTTTCAATAGGGTATTTGACAGTATTAAAAATAAAGTGCCAATTGTTAGCATCTGTGTTTAGAATGAATATTGGGAGGGGATTTTACTATTTGTATAAAAAAAACCATAATTTTACTAAAAACCCACGAAAAAGATAATAGTTTTCTTATCTATTGTCACGTGACCCAAAACGCTTGGGATTGGCGGAGCCTAAAATGACGTCACACGCAAGTAAACTTCCGGTTAAAGTGACATTACATTGCATCGTTTGACGTTTTAATAACAGTCGTGTGACGTCACACACTAGTAAGACGCCATATTGTCCAGAGAAACGTTTTCGTGGCAACTTGAAAATGGAGTTTTTGATTTGGTTATTTTTACTGGAATACACAACAGATTGATGGATATCCACTTTTACGGGCCCCATAAACATTAGTCAATAACGTGAGATCGTTTTCTAAAACTTGTCAAATACCCTATTGCTTAAGTCCATTCAATTTCCTGAATTCTCTGTCCGTTAGTATACTTGTATTGACGCTTTCCATATCTCACTCCTGCGTGCTTCGGAAGGCACGTTAAGCCTTTGGTCCCGGCTGCATCTGCAGTCGTTAGCACCCACCAATCCGAACTGGGCCCGCGTGGTGGGTCATGGCCCAATCTCCCTATTCCATCCATAGGGAAGGCCTGTGTCCCAGCAGTGTTGACATTAATAGGCTGATGATAATGCTATGTTATTTTATGTTTTTAGATACAATTCGGTAAGAAGACCATTGAAGGTACCAGCAATTTAGTAGAAAAACCTATAGCAAGAACATTTTGGTGAATTAATAAACTATTAGTATGATTTAAGCATTTTTATTTCAAAATATCTAGTGCAAGATCCCAAGAGAGCTCTCTCTTCAGTTTAGCAGACGAATAGTATGTTTTGTCAAGGATTTTCTGATGAAAGAAGATTGAAGACAGACTTTTCTTGAAATCTTAGACTTATCTACACTTGCGTACTCAAAAATAAACCTTATATTGAAATACAGTAACGTCCAAACAATAAACAATATTTTTTAAATACTTTTTTTATACAACACTAGTGGCCCGCCCTCGCTTTGCTTTGGTGTAGAGCTGTAGTGTAGACTATAGTTTTTGTTCAAGGGCTTGTATTATACACAATGACCTTCTTCATTATGAACCTTCCATTCCAAGTAAAATAATCGTTGCGTAGTTTAGGACCCGTTGTACCGAATGCAACATTGCTCTGTTATTCCAAATTAAAAAAATCTTTTTGTATTGGACAGTGCATTTATCGAGGAATGCTATTCGCTATGTGCACGACAGAGCGCCACCTACAATACGCAACTTTCCGGGATTATGCCAAATAATGACATCAGTTTGTATTTTATTGATTTCTAGTAAATATAGTAAATTAAAGATAAATAAAAATTATTATATATTGTATAATAATTTAAATACTGTCGGATTTCAATTCGGAATTTAGTACAGTCAATAATAACTCTTGTATTGATGTAATCTGGACTGAAACACTTGGGCATTGTTGCTTGTACGGTGGCTCTATTCGGCCAAAAGATTAAATTAGCAGTTGAACAAGCTAGATTTTGTAAGATCGAATGAAATATACGTGAGATTGTGGTTTTTTTGTACACCAAATAACACACTCAATGCTGAAAATGTCAAGCCAGTTTTCATTTTTATCAAAAAAATCAGAAGTCGGTCTTTAGTGGAAACTGTACATTTTTTCATAGTTAATCTTGTTAATAAAAACTCAAAATTGCTAAATGACACACCAGAAGGATCTAGGAGTTCTTGATCATTTGTTATTGATGAAATACCAACAAATTCTTGACTTTTTGTTTCGGTAGATTGATCCTCATACGATTTTTTGTCAGTGCCACAGCTTTTATCTTTCTTTCTTGAATTATTTGTCATTAAAATTCTTGATGTTGGATTTCAGCATCACAGTGATCACTGTAAATTAATCTAATACAAATAAAAGTTGTATCTCTTAATTTCGATTCAGAAAACATATTTACTTGACATCCTTGATCGATCATAAAAGGTTGAGTTAGATTTAATTCACTCCCTTCTTCAATTATTATTTGACTTGATGTGGTATCTGAGACTTTTGTGGTTCTTCGTTTTGTCAAGCGTGTATATCTAGCTAGGACCTGTGAATCATTAACCTTCCTCTTTCGATATATTTCAGGGAATATCGTAGGATATGCTCCTACGATATTCCCTGAACTCGGATTTTCTTCCTCGTCTGATTTTTTGTTTCCCATAAAATGTTCACTACAAATTGTGGCGTCAGGTTTGGGATACCATGGCGACCCATCAACACTAAAATAATAAAGACAATAATGAATATCACATAAAATATAAAGCGCAAATAAAATTGATCATAATTTAAGGTTATTTCGCTTACTTATTTCTTTTTATGGCATCTATCCATTTATTTCTTTGATTTAATTTCCAGTCCAATGTAGGAAATATATACACAGACTATTTGTGCCCTTATTTTTGCAATTCACAACACAACAACATCTATTAATAGGCATTTAAAAAAATTTTTGTTTATTACGAACTCCGTGCAAATTGACTTTACTTTCCCGGATTGTTGCGTATTTCTGCCACGATAAGCGCTGCGATCGCTTCACTATACCCCCACCATGTACTTCGCACATAGCGAATAGGCTTATTACCAGGCTATTGACCAGAAGCAGCGGAGCATCGATGAAAAATGTTGCAAAAACGGGAAAAAATATTCCATTTGTGACATTCCGTTGCGTGCGCTGGGTAAACGGTTAAAGTTACACAAAAATCATGTAGGACTGAATTCTTTCCCTTTAAAAGTTCTATAAAAAAGCTCACGACAACCTATGTCTATATTTTAAGTTTGACTCACTATAAAGTGGTGTACACATTAAGCGTTTTCCAACGCGCGCTTTGCTAACGCGCGTTTCGAGAACCAGGAGTTCTATTGAAGTGTACACATGCGCGATTCTGGTCAAGCGTGCGTCAAACGCGCGTTCTCATATTTTACGTATGATCGCGCGTTGCGCGGGCGTTAGCTGCGCGCTTCGAGATACTTGGGCCGCCATTTTGTTGTACATTTGATCGCGCGCTTTAGTGTAGTGTAGACGTCAGTTCAACGGAAAAATAGATACCGAACATTTTGACACAGATTTCTTTATTGATGAAATCCAAAAGCGACCAACTATTTGGGACGTGAAATGTCCCAATTATAAAAAAAATAAGACGCTAAAAAGACGTAAATTAAAAAAAAATACACCGTCTTTTATAGCGACGGTAGAGGAGCCACACACAAGTAATCACTTGGGCGTCCTTTTTCGGACTGCCAGAAACACACCCTACTAAACGCTCGCCGAACGCCCAGCCGAGCGCGGCGTGTGTATGCAATCAACGCGCGCTCAACGCAACGCCGAGCGCCCAATGTGTACCCGCCGTAACACTATAAGAAATAGGTTTCTTCAAATTAACGCGGGTGAGACCGCAGGGGACCTCTAGTTGTGACATAACTGTAGTACTTAGACATATGGTTTTTGACTTTTTGTAGATATTGGTATCCTCTATAAAACTTTAGTACATCACTTTGCTCTATTGTCAATGACTTCGGCAGCGTATGCGATATAATTTTTTACACACGTTGGGTTACATTATCCAATTTTTCATACAGAACCCTAACTTTTTTGAAAATACACTATAGCCTATATTAATCAGTGATAATATAGCATTCAAATAGTAAAAGAATTTTTAAAATCGGTCCAGTACTTTTTGAGCCAATTCGTTACAAACATACTTACATACAAACCTTTCCTCTTTATAATATTAGTATAGATTAAATCTTACTTTCAAAATTTTTAGGTCTAAATTGAGGAGCTGGCGAACAAAACGGTATAACTACATAAAGTTATTTCTTCCAGGAACTGTATAAAACTGAATGACATACCTCCAGTGAGCGAGTGGTATGGTGTTTAATTTATAAATTTAGTAATTTTAACACTGGTGTCGATTCTGGCATGATTCTCTAAAACTCTCTCCTTTTCATTCTGCATAGAGAATGACAGGGATGTGCTGTTGTCAAAGGACACCCGGCGTTTTGTGCCAAAGTTGTATACTTTTTTATTTTTTTTATCTGTGTTTCATAATTGGGTAACGTAGTCTGGCAATATTTGTCATCAGCAACTAGCTGTCAATGTCAAATACGTAGGTTTGTCATCAAAAGGGTTTCTTTATCAAAAAATATTAATCATTAAATAACTTCTTTCCACGATTCACTAAAAATAAGGCAAAAGTAGTTTTATGTAGCAAATAATTTTGGCTTTATTTTGAGACCAAATTCAACTGTATACAAGTTTAGCATTTTTTCTATGAAAAGTGCCGGGTCTCCTTTAGTAATTTTAACACTGGTGTCGATTCTGGCATGATTCTCTAAAACTCTCTCCTTTTCATTCTGTATACAGAATGACAGGGATGTGTTGTTGTCAAATTTAAGTTTAGCTTTAGAGAATCATGCCAGAATCGACATCACTGTTTTAAGCGGTTTTGATTCAAAATTATTTGAGATTAAAATTCAACGGGATCGAAACCTTTTTATAAAAAAATGTGGCTTGACCAGATGCGTTATTATACAGTTTTGTTCGCTAGCTCCTCAATTATAATATCTCTTATCTATTAGACAAGTCCGTCCGTCTGTCTGTGGTGCTGTTTCAGCGGCTAAACCGTAAGAGATAGATAAAGAGAATGTTTAAGTTATAAGTTAAGAATAGTCTGATAAGACTACAAACCGGATTTGAGTAACGTAGTACTTCCGGTTTTCGAGAAATCACGAATCTCAAACGAAACCACACAAAATCTCCGAAGTTCTCAATTAATTAAATACATTTTTTTTAAATCAGGTTTTGGTGAACATTTCGAGCCCTTACCGCCAAATTATCGTAAGCGACACTTTTGTCGAAATGCGTTTTTTGTGGAAACTAATATTTTAAACCGTAACGGACCCATCTCTGTTGATATTTCCCTCCAAAAGAACACCGTAATAATATAATAGACGGAAGAATAGAGGGAAATATCAACAGAGATGGGTCCGTTACGGTTAAAAATATTAGTTTCCACAAAAAACGCAATTCGACAAAAGTGTCGCTTACGATAATTTGGCGAGTGTCGCTTATGATAATTTGGCGGTAAGGGCTCGATTTGGTTCACTGGTTTGCTAGTAAGGTTGTAATTGTAATCTAAGAATTACGGCCACAAAGCTTTATATGACTTAAACAAGATTGGATCTTATTTCTAATGCCTTTAGGGCCTTATTCACTTTTACGCTAGAATATAAGTTCTACCCAAAATATATATATGAAATATATATATATGTGTGTGTATATATCGAGCCCTTACCGCCAAATTATCGTAAGCGACACTCGCCAAATTATCGTAAGCGACACTCGCCAAATTATCGTAAGCGACACTTTTGTCGAAATGCGTTTTTTGTGGGAAACTAATATTTTAAACCGTAACGGACCCATCTCTGTTGATATTTCCCTCCAAAAGAATACCGTTATAATATAATAGAGGGAAGAATAGAGGGAAATATCAACAGAGATGGGTCCGTTACGGTTTAAAATATTAGTTTCCACAAAAAACGCATTTCGACAAAAGTGTCGCTTACGATAATTTGGCGGTAAGGGCTCGATATATATATATATATATATTTATATGTATAACTCATTTTCGAAAAAAGTGGCGTTTAAGCGATTTTGCCTTTCCACTGCCGATATACTTATTACCAAATTTAAT